CCACAATCATCATTGGGGTATCTAGTTTAAAAAATGTGTCCGGTGACCCGGCCAACCATCCAAGATGGCCGCCATGGCTAAAAATAGAACATAGGGGTAAAATGTAGATTTTGGCTTATATCTCTGAAACCAAAGCATTTAGAGCAAATCTGACATGGGGTAAAATTGTTTATCAGGTCAAGATCTATCTGCCCTGAAATTTTCAGATGAATCTGACAACCCGTTGTTGGGTTGCTGCCCCTGAATTGGTAATTTTAAGGAAAATTTGCCGTTTTTGGTTATTATCTTGAATATTATTATAGATAGAGATAAACTGTAAACAGGAATAATGTTCAGCAAAGTAAGATCTACAATTAGGTCAACTTGACCAAAATGGTCAGTTGACCCCTTAAGGAGTTATTGCCCTTTATATTCAATTTTTAACCATTTTTCGTAAATTTTTGTAATCTTTTACAAAAATCTTCTCCTCTGAAACTACTAAGACAAATTTAACCAAACTTGTCCGCAATCAGCATTAGGGTATCTAGTTTAAAAAATGTGTCCGATGACCCCGCCTGCGAACCAAGATGGCCGACATGGCTAAAAAATAGTACATAGGGTAAAATGCAGTTTTTGGCTCATATCTCTGAAACCAAAGCATTTAGAGCAAATCTGACATGGGGTAAAATTGTTTATCTGGTCAAGATCTATCTGCCCTGAAATTTTCAGACCAATCAGGCAGCACGTTGTTGGGTTGCTGCCCCTGAATTGGTAATTTTAAGGAAATTTTGCAGTTTTTGGTTATTATCTTGAATATTATTATAGATAGAGATAAACTGTAAACAGCAATAATGTACAGCAAAGTTAGATCTACAAATAAGTCAACATGACCAAAATTGTCAATTGACCCCTTAAGGAGTTATTGCCCTTTATAGTCAATTTTTTACAATTTTCATAAATTTTGTAAATTTTTGTAAATTTTTACAAAATATTTTCCACTGTAACTACCGGGCCAAGTTCATTATAGATAGAGATAATAGTAAGGAGCAAGAATGTTCAGTAAAGTAAGATCTACAAACACATCACCATCACCAAAACACAATTTTGTCATGAATCCATCTGTGTCCTTTGTTTAATATGCACATAGACCAAGGTGAGCGACACAGGCTCTTTAGAGCCTCTAGTTTTACTTTTTTTGATTCGCGCGTCACTAATGAGTCTTTTGAAGATATCCTTCAGTATGATCATGATGATGTAAAATGAATCATATCAATCTAATCTGATTTCATTTTAAACAATCTTTAACGTAATACAAATTAAAAACCGAACCTCGCTTGTATAAATCTAAAATTTCAAAGTTAACGCAGGTTAAGTATTTACAACAGAAACTACATAGGTATGCCTCCAAATTAATAGTAATGTGCAGTTTGATCTGGTAGAACTCTAAAATTCCAAAGTTGACGAAGGTAAAGTAATTACAACAGAGACTGCTTAGATATGCATTCAAAATAAACAGCACTGTACGATTTGAACTGGTATAAATATAAGATTTCAAAGTTGACTAAGGTTAAGTAATTACAACAGAGACAACGTATTTATACAACCTAAATGAATAGCACTGTGCGATTTGAACTGGTATAATTCTTTAGTTTCAAAGTTGACGAAGGCAAAGGAATAACAACAGAGACTGCGTATTTATACATCACAAATGAACAGCACTGCGCGATTTGAACTACACCTTTTCATTGATCTATTTGGTGTCAATGTTTTTAATTTTCTTATCCAAATCCCGAGTGATTCTCTCCTCCCTAGACCAAGCAGTGTTGTGGTCTATGATGGTAATAGTCTGTCGATTGAGATCTGCTTTAGTATGGCCAGGGGATCTCAAATGCCGACGGAGAGGAAGGTCTTGCTTATTCATAGTCACTACGATGGCCGTTCATACGTTTGTGAAATGGCTGTTCTGACTAACCATCATTCGGTTTATCATATTTACACTGTAGAAGATACACAGCATTTGTAGGTTTTCATTTAACATTGCAAAATATGGTGTATTTCGTACAGTGGAGTGACTGTTAAAAGTCTGGGTATTCAGTATTTGCTTGCAAGTCAGACATCGTTTGTTCCCACAACCCTTGCAAGAGTCCCCAGACTAAGAGCCTGGTTTAGAGGATAAATCAGCTCTCACCAGCAAATCTTTAAGGCTTTTGGGCCTATCTCGGGCAAGATCTTGGATAGTTTAGGATGTTTTTCGATTTCTTTCCAATTTTGACGGTTAAGGTGTGGCAATTTGTCAAATTTAGGATGGTAAGTCAGCACAAACAGGACTCTTTTGTTGACCTTTTTCTCTTTGTATTGTCAAAGTCCATCTCGGCTGATGTTGTTAGCACGAGAGAAACTTCTATCAATGTCTTTTCTTCTGTAGCCCGATTTTTAGGTGACCCCGAAGTTCTTGTAGTCGCCTTTTCTCAGTATCATTGGTGGAGAAAAAATCTGCTTTATTCTGATGTCCTGGCTGTAGGAATGCTCTGGGTGCAAACTCATGGGAGAAAGATATTGATGTTTGTCTGTGGGCTTGCAATACAGATCTGTAAATATGATTGCATTCTTCACTTGCGTAGCAGTGTCAAGAAATGTGATCTTAAAGGCAGAGATTTCATAAGTGAACTTTGTATATACAAAAAGTAGACATCTTGTATTTGTAGCTTCTCTGAAAACAATAATCGTATTTCATGAGACTGACTTTCAAAGAATCTTATACAATGCCATTGTGTGTGCCTTATTTTATTGTTCGATCCAAATACTATTAAGGGATTTTAAGGCTTTAAAACATGGACTTCCCATATGTATACAGATGGGAGAGAAGGACGTAAATTTGTAAGCTCTGCTCCAATTATTCTTAGTTTAAATTGTCATCTGCTAGAGTACCTATTTGGGTTGAAATTGTGAATGCTGAAGTAAAAGCAAGTAGTTCATTAAATATTTAATACAAACCGTTTTATTTAAAAAATACATATCTATTGAATATGTCTAATCATTAAATCTGAAATAAAAACCTTTAAGTATGCTTTGTGTTTTATGTCATGTATGAATTTACTACAACTTGTGAGAGGGTAATTCATAAATGACTGAAAAGTTGAATGAATTGCACAGAAAATTTTTATCAAACCAAATTTTGTGAAGGTTTTAGGTGTCTGTTGCCTTGTCATATCTGATCGCCTTTAGGTAAACAAACATAGACACAGCTGTTAAAGGAAATGTGCCTGTAGTTTTTTTAGAAGCAGATATATACACAACTGTTTAATGGACAAACAATGTTGTTCGTTTTTTGCATCAATATCACAAATCTGTTCATGATTTGAAAAATTTACACGTTTTTCGTCACGTGTCCATTCCAAATTTAGATACCGTGATAGAACTATTATGAACTTACACATGATTGTTTCTATAAACATTGCATTCTTGTAATTCATTGCTGGTGACTATTTTTTTTTGTAAGTTCCTGTACATAAATAATGGAATTTTAGGATTGTAATTCCTTCTTATATCCGAGATTGCTATACAACTTTTTTCTTCTTTTTTTGTTATTAGTTCACTTAAACATACTCGTCTAGGAAACAACCAAGCTAATTTAAAACCATTATTGAATCATCGAAATCACAACTAATACAGGTTTCAACATTATATAGCTGGTGCATATAGACCCGTAGTGAGCTGTGTGATCCATCCTCCTCGGAGCATATTTATTCATTTGATAACCTATAAGATATTACCAATAAAAATGTCGATATGAATTACTTTATAAGAATCCACTTCACTTTGATGTAGCCGTGTAAACTATTTAAAATTAAGCCATAATAGACGTTATTATTTGTCCATAACTTTATAGTACTTTGGTATAGTTTATCTGACGCAAATGCAATGTTGATGTTTACCTATGGGCGGCCAAAATATTTTAATCAGAGTTAACTTTCTTTATTAGACTCGTACATTCTCAATGTCTTGTTTTCTCTGACACATTCCCCGTTTCCATTCTCTATTCTATCATCTATATAAGCAGAAAGTCTGTTTAACCTGAAAAATGGCATGGTAACATAGAGACACAGTTTATGTGTAAGATTTTAATTTTTTTATGCATTCACTATTTAAAACAAAATGTACATTAACATTTTATATCACAATAGTGCCTGGTACGTCCTCCGTATGTCTGAGCACATCTTGCAATGATCTATTCCTACGAACAAGGTGATAATTTGGTTTGCTTTACTGATCCTTATGAACTTTTTACACGCTGAAAGGTTTCATGTAGACAAGTTCCTTTTTTTCAAATTTCGATATTAATCGGACGCAGGTGTAAAGTTTGATGAAAACACGATGTATTTGGATAATGATCTTATTTTCTTTTAAGTTGGGTATTTTTTTTTTTTTTTTTTTTTGTAAACCGTTGGAAACTGTTTTTTTTTTTTGCTAAGCAATGTAATAATATTATATACATATACGTATACACTAGCTTAAAAAAATGCCATGTGAAAGCATATATTTTTGCTAAATATATTATTAAGCTAGAGATAATAAAAAGTGAGAAAATACAATTGGGGAATTAAAAAAAAACTTTCGGTGAATCTAAAGACAAAAAAGCATTAAACAGTCCACACAATACTACAAAAAACTAAACATATAGCGATAAGAACCAATTAGCGAATGTGAGCTCAAAAACTATTGAATGGTTAACTATCCCTGCTCTAGTTGTGGATCGGTAATGGTAGAACACTTATAAAATGTTTTTTATATAAAATTTAAAGTATAAGGGAAGGTTAGCTTTTGTTGGACTGTACACATGATAAGATCAAATAGCCAGAGACGTATAGTAAAATATACTTTGTAGATGTCTCTGATATAGCACAAACATAATTTTAACTGAACAAAAAATCTATTCAATATTTAAAAAAAATAAATCTAACCTTTAAATATTGTTCGAATGACATGCATTGTTGAAATTATCGTGATATGAGTGAAGTTTTAAAAGTGCCAATGAATTGGTTGCGATTTCATATGATAATATCACGGATATATGTTTGTCGTTGACACAGAAATATTGATCCCGACACTTTATCAGAGGTATACCGATTCATTTCATACTTAATAATAGTGATCGCTTAAATGCGACTGTTCAAATGAGGACAGTCAGTTATCTCCGTTATGAAAAGGATGTTTAAAATAAATCATTTAACAATCAATTGTGAGGAAGTTATTAAAGGTAAAAAACACACTACAATGTGGAATTTTTTATGAGTTTTTCAGTTATTCCTGTTTTCAATGTAAGTAATTTTTTAAAGTTTTATTGACGTAAAGAAACATTTACATATACATTTCACTTGTCTTCGTAAACTCTGAGCTGGATATGAAAAAATATATATTTACAGTGGATATTTACAATAAGTTTTTTATTTTTTGCTTGTATATTGCACGTGTTAATTTTTTTTTAACTTGCTTTGTTTATATACAGATACAGCTTCTTATCATCAGTTTTATACAGAATCACCTATTTATCCGTTTATTGTTTTAAGGTCATTTTAAATTTGACAGATTACAAATAGATTAAAGCTTAACTATATTAGTTGCCACTTTGTATCGGGATTCACCATTCTGTATAATATGATCATGTTAAATGCAAGATGTGTCAACTATAACCCGTAGGTCATTTTTTTAACTATATCTGGACCTGTATAACAACTACGTGATGGTACCATTCAATATTTACTAAAACCACATTGTTTTCCATTGAATAAGCTTAGCGTATAACCGCGAACCTAAAACTTCGCAGTTTAAAGATTTCATTCAATCATTCATACGCCAACTATTGTAGTTTCAGATCTCTTCTGCATTTAAGTCTGAAAGTACGCAAGTCTAACAAAAAAATAACGACAATAAAATTATTATATATATTCTTATACATAAAACTAGGGCTGGAAAAAAATCATGATAGGTTAACAGATATAAAGTGAATTAAATGGTGTAAGTCGATTCAAGACCCTTAATTTAGGTTGGGACAGCTCATACAGTTTGATCACGACGACATTTCATGTCTGGTGATGAGTTGGGTTTGCTTTACTGATCCCGACGACATTTTCTGTCTGGTGGTAAATTGGGGGTTGCTTTACTGATCCCGACGACATTATCTGTCTGGTGATAAGTTGGGTTAGCTTTACTGATCCGGACGACATTTTCTGTCTGGTGATGAGTTTGGTTTGCTTTACTGATCCCGACGACATTTTCTGTCTGGTGATGAGTTGGGTTAGCTTTACTGATCCCGACGACATTTTCTGTCTGGTGATAAATTGGGGTTAGCTTTACTGATCCCGACGACATTTCATGTCTGGTGATAAGTTGGGTAAGCTTTACTGATTCCGACGACATTTTCTGTCTGGTGATGAGTTGGGTTTGCTTTACTGATCCCGACGACATTTTCTGTCTGGTGATGAGTTGGGTTTGCTTTACTGATCCCGACGACATTTTCTGTCTGGTGATAAATTGGGGTTAGCTTTACTGATCCCGATGACAGTATCTGTCTGGTAACGACTTTGGTTTGCTTTACTGTTCCCGACGACGTTTTCAGTCTGGTGATGAATCGGGGTTAGCTTTACTGAGCCCGACGACATTTCATATAAATAAGAAAATGTGATAACAGAGCTAATAAGACAACTATCCATCCAAGTCACAATGTGTAAAAAGTAAACAATTATAGGTCAAAGTACGGCCTTCCACACGGAGCCTTGGCTCACACCGAACAGCAAGCTATAAAGGGCCCAAAAAAGACTAGTGTAAAACAATTCAAACACGAAAACCAACGGTCTAATCTATATAAAAAACGAGAAACGAGAAACACTTATGAACCACACCAACAAACGACAACCACTAAAAAACAGGCTCCTGACTTAGGACAGGTGCATAAAAATGCAGCGGGTTTAAACGTTTTAACAGGCGCCAACCTTCACCCTAACCTGAAACAGTGGTATAACATTACAACATAAAAATACACACAATGAAATATCAATTGAAATGGCTTAACTCGATCAAAAAGACAATAATTTAATTTTGGATGTAACGCGTCTTCTGATTGGCTGACGTTGTTTTGTTTATCAGCCCATAGACATAATTTTGTCATGTGACCGTGACGTCATCAACGTTTTTTCATGGTTTACTCAGGTTTAAAATGGAATTTAGAATTAAATTATAAGAAATGACTGTAATAATTTTTCTGTCTATTCGAAATAACATAAAAAATGTGGTGCACACTTTAAAATAACCCGCTACGCGGGTTATTCAGTGTGCACCACATTTTTGATGTTATTTCTTCATAGACAGAAAAAATATTACAGTCATTCCTTAAATACACAAAAACAAGTAAATATACACTGAACGAATAAGTTTGATCTATGACACAATATAAATAAAAAAAAAGTTTCAATGTTAAAAGGCAACTTTAACCTAGGACAAAACGGCGTTAAATAAAGTAACGTACACAGGTAAATTTAAATATAATAATTTTGTTGTTAGTACAGAAACATTTTTTACAAAATAAATTTGTTATTCATAGTACGAGTACAGAAGTAAAAAAAAATTTCGTCATACTAAATACTTATCAAAGGTGGTACATATTAAGAATAGTAAGACGAGATATAACACAAAATAAGTAAACATTGAATAACAGAAATGAATTACAAATTGTTTCAACAGGTCAAATTAAAACGAAAGTACGATTTGAGAGTACTCGCAGTTACTGAAAGCCTGGTGATGAGTTGGTTTTGCTTTACTGATCCCGACGACATTTTCTGTCTGGTAATAAATTGGGGTTTGCTTTACTGATCCCGACGACATTATCTGTCTGGTGACGACTTTGGTTTACTTTACTGATCCCGACGACATTTTCTGTCTGGTGACGACTTTGGTTTACTTTACTGATCCCGACGACATTTTCTGTCTGGTGACGACTTTGGTTTGCTTTACTGATCCCGACGACATTTTCTGTCTGGTGACGACTTTGGTTTGCTCAGAGACATATATACACAGAGATTGGCAACTCCGTGAAATCCCGTTAAAAAACGCGGCCCGGAATGAGATTCTCGTCGATAATTATTCTACTACATGTAGACAAGTCAGGGATGAATAACCTCGATAGCTAATCAAGAAAAGTAATAGGAAAACTTATTTCAGATCAAATAAATTCTTTTTCTAAAAAACTACTTGAAATAGTTGTATTTTTTTTAATGTATTTGATTGAGAAAATATTTTTTTCTTTTTTTCGGCATTTCTTTTAATTTAAAAAGTAAAATCTGGTAATGATCATGATATTACAAGAAAGATTTCTTTGCTAAAGTTTGCTTCTAAATTACACAGTGAAATTATGTGTGTCCGATTTTCCGGTCATTATTTCCTTAGAGTTGTGACTGGATTCACAGGTGTGCGATTACGCAATTTATTGCCCTCCGATCATCTGAATTTTGCCGGAGGTGAAGTTCTAAGTGGATTATTACTTGGTAATTGTTTTTACAACTAAACAAATTCTGACATTATTTTAACCATGACCAGAACTTTATTTTAACAGAAACACTGGGCTATACTATGAATAGGGTAAACGGACAGAAAGTCACAGTACAAAAAGTCACAGGACATAAAGTCACAAATTGGATAGGACAAAAAATCACAAATAATTTATTGACAATTGTTTGAATATATAAGAGAAAGATCTTCAAATAATATCTTTTTTTACATTTATTCATTTTTAAGTTCAGGAAATTGTTCATAAGCCATGATAAATGAAAAATTATTAAATTTTAATCATGCAAATAATATATTTCTTGGCACCATGAAGCCATGTAAGTGCCAAACCACTTTGACATTTTGTTATCATAACAATTATTTGATCATCATTGATATTTATTGAATAAATTTTAATTACAAAGTTGCTTCATATATTATAGTTCAATAAAAAATCAAAAAATTATTTTTAAAATTAGTGTTTTCTTGTTCAGAGAAAAATAATCTCAAAACTGAATTGTGACTTTTCGTCCGTGACTTTTTGTCCTGTGACTTACTGTCCTACATTCTACTATAGTATTCAATCAGGAACAAAAATAGTCATTTAACATGTCAAAAAAAGAAATCAGAAAGCAACTTTTTTATATAAAAAAAAAAATATGTAGCCAGTAGAATTTTGTCTCGTGGAAAACGGATTTAAATGATTAATTTTTGATTGACCTACACTATATTGCATTATTTGTGGAACCTTTGCATGAATTTCCTAAATGAACGTACATTATGTACAGTGTTGTTGAAATCACTATTTTTGCTGTCATGAAATATTGAATATGAATCCGTCATTATTTGTAGTTTTTTATGGACTTAATATCACAGACCATGATTAAAAACAACGTGTATCATAAGTACAGTAAAATGCTCTGCTGAACTGTAGAATTTTAATGTTCTGTTTCATAGACCACAGAAGTACTGCAACATCCTTATCTTTACTCTTTCCTATCGGGTAGTGAAACTCGAGTTTAAAATTAGAAAGATTTAAAATTGAAGACAAGTTTTATCTGATCTTTCGTGGGTTTATGTTTCGGTGCAGTGCTATGTGGGCTGTTATTTTCTTTTCATTTGTCATTTTTTTATCTGTGTTACAATGTACATGACCTTGTACTTTTTGTATTGCCCCTTGACATCTCCTGCTTCTGTTTAAACCTTTACCACTAATATCTCATCTGGTTTAACTAAAATAGTGTCTCATTCCCGGAATTTGTTATACAGGAATTCATTTTAATATCAGTTTTTTTTATAAGCATATAAACTGCTTGGTCTCTTCACACAATTTATGTTTAGGACGGAATGCATCAATAGGTACATACATGTACCAGGTCACCAAAATATAAGTACACCTTATGTGCTTTTGACCTCCACAAGAATTCTTAAACATTCATAGATGTGCAAAGAATATTTTTGTCGTTGGGTTGTTGTCTCATTGACATATACCTCACATTTCTGAATAGTCATAGCAGCTGTGCCTTTTCAATTTATTGCAGAAAATATTTGCATTAACATTTTTCAAAATAGGCGAGGTGAAACAGTGATCACAGAATGAGGACATGTAAAACTGAAACTACACAACACAACAGATAAATATAAACAAGCACCATTGCTAAAGGACTGAAACAAACATAGATAATGACTAATATGAGCGACTAGTAGTGTACAAGTAGAGTGAACATTTCTTGCTTCTTATTCTACACATTTTGTCATTTCATGTAAACAATTAAATATG